AAACGTTGAGAACAAGTCTAACATCTGGTGCCTTTTTTGAGAAGTCGTCCAGATATTTACATTTGTGCTCCTAAGATAATACCAAACCACAGCCACGTTACAGAAAGAATATAATTGAAAATTGTATTTAAAAAAAAACATAAGCTAAAAATTGATGCTTTCGGAAAAGAATTAATTTCAACGATAATTTGATACGAAAGATTTGTGATGAAAATCACGTAAAATACAAGTGTTTCTTTTCAAATTTCTCTTAATCTGGCCCCCCAGTAGCACAGCGGAATGTCGGCGGACTTACAACGCTAGAAACCGGGTTTCGATACCCGTGGTGGACAGAGCACAGATAGCCCATTGTGCAGCTTTGTGCTTAACTTCAAACAAACTCTTAATCTGTCCATTTTGAACTCTAAATCAAAAAGTTTATAATTTTCTGAAGAAGAATGTGCATTTCTGCTATTAAGCGAAAGGCCTCGTCGGCAGTGGTACACAAAGGTTGAGGTCGAGATAATGTCATATTCCTCTTAGTTAGAGACCCATAAAGGGCCAGTTACGTCAGATTTGTTACAAACGAGTATACAGATGTAATGTCACAAAACATCCATGTATAAACTCTAAGATAGTTCCTTAAATATAACACGGAAGGATATTTAAAAAAATTATGTTGTGAAATTACATTTATTCGACACCTTAAGAGCGCTTCGGATGATGCTTTCGACTTTGATTATTCACATCGAATCGTGGACGAACCCCATCCTTACACGCCATCTGTCGTGACATTCATTCATAGTCCGTTAGTAATTTTTATTTCAAACCCCTCGTTCCAAATTGTTACATTGTCCATTACTATTTAAACTATGAAGCAGAAAAAGAACAATAGTTTATGCACAGTCTCTAAACTTTGAAACCCACGTGATCTAGAAACATTATCCAATTTCTCTCTCTCCAAAACTGGATAACTTGCAGTAACGTTTCCGTCCTCAGGAAACATCCTCTTGACCAAACCATAATGTGTTTTTACCTGGAAACTGCACAAAGTTTTGCGTTGTTTCCGTGGTCGTACGTTAGTCACCTTCCAATTTACAGAGGGCAACTTTATATTTATTTACCTTTATCGACTTGTGAGACACAAGTTGAAAAAAATCAGTCAAATAAAGAATAAGTACTCATAAGATGTATAGAACACAGCTATGGTGTACCAGTGATCAAAACATCCAGCTTTTATTACTGACGGATTTTTGTTTCCGTTTAATTCTAGACTGAACGAATTATTCCGGTGAACGGACTGAAACAAACATTACATAATCGTCTACTTGTTCTATTAGTTACGCCATATTAAGGTTCATTACTCACAATTGAGTAATTCTCGTTTTCAGTGACATCTAGTGGGTCACCACTACATCACAATAATAGGCAAAATACATATAATTCCCAAGAACGGTGATTAAAATAATTATTTGAGTTATGTTTAACGTTTAGATCTTTATTATAGATATATATGGTTGGACAGGCTCGTGATTAATAAAGCACCAGCAACGTGTAGTGTGTACAACTGTGTAGGAAGTAGATAAACAACAAAAGTAATCTTAACAAAGAGGTAATAATTAACATGTCGTGGCGTGACTTTCAATATCCAGTCTCCTTCAGTTTTCACCAACGTACAAATAAAACATGTATCGAGTTGGTGTTTGTTAAAAATACACATATTGTTCTCATGGTTTCTATCGTTATACGAATTCTTTAGGGTTATTCCGTAAAAAAATAAAATAATGATAATTTAAAGACCGGTCCATTTAACGACAACGAAAGCGTTTTATTTCTTCAACTGAATCTTTTGCACTTGACACGGATTTCAAAATAACCATAACCAAGGGAAATGCCTTACTCACAACTAAAACCTAGTAGTTTCTTATTTGTTAAATAACTTCTCGTATGTGCGACACAACTCGAAAACTGGCTAACACACTCGATAATCGATCCATAAATCAACAAGTTCACTAACTAACTCAGTGACCGATTTACTCACCCACTAACTAACTAACTCAGTGACCGATTTACTCACCCACTAACTAACTAACTCAGTGACCGATTTACTCACCCACTAACTAACTAACTCAGTGACCGATTTACTCACCCACTAACTAACTGACTCAGCGACCGATTTACTCACCCACTATAATATTTTCATACAATACTTGTTTTGTCAATACTTTCATAAAGTTCAAGATGTCACATCAGATGTGATATTCAAGAAATTTCTAGACATCACACATCATCTTTACGTCATACAAAGCTCTCTAACAAACAAAACAACTCGATTAAAATACTAAAAACAAAGTACAACACTGCACTCTTCACGGATTGTGAAGTTTCCTGAAAAGTCTTAATACACAAACAAACTAACAGCATATTACACTTAAATAACAAGTATCGAAGTTACTATTTACAATTAACAAAAAATTAATATTCAAAAATAGACTTTACAGTAAATATATCATTAATTAAGTAGGTTAAAACAAGTACAATCACAATGCCGATTAACCAAACAAAATCTTCATTATCTTATTTACTGTGTCTAAACTGACCAGTTAACAAATTTTGGTGAGTTTCTTTTTCCATGGCTTATGGTACGACGAGACGTCTTATTCTTCTTTAATGTCACTTCCTGTCTTGTCACTAGAAAAGTTATATCTGGGTAAATGGTCGAGAGAATTCACTGGTGTCTATATTACTGTCAAAACTTTGGAAGTGGTATCGACAGAGGCTCGGGATCTCCTGGCCCGGCATGGCCAGGTGGTTAGGGCGCTCGACTTGCAATCTGAGGGTCGCGGGTTCGAATCCCTGTCACACCAAACATGCTCGCCCTTTCAGCCGTGGGGGCGTTATAATGTGATGGTCAATCCCACTATTCTTTGGTAAAAGAGTAGCCCAGGAGTTGGCAGTGGGGGTGATGACTAGCTGGCTTTCCTCTAGTCTTACACTGCTAAGTTAGGGACGGCTAGTGCAGATAGCCCTCGTGTAGCTTTGCGCGAAATCCATAACAAACAAACAATTGGGATCTACAACAGGTTGACTTACTTTTGGTTAAGTTTTCATTAAACAAGTGGCTGTCCTCCCTAAGATGACCTTTGGCTCAGGTCACCTATTACTCTGGATTCTGCTCTGTTACCCTAGTTAGATTGTCTTCTTAATCCTGTGCACCCATCATTGTTCTTTCATCATGTCCAACATCTGGAGGTGTAGTAGTGCAAGGGAATTTGTTTTTAAACTGTGAAGCTACTTGAAGCTAGTCTAACATGTCACCAAATGAAATCAGTTTCCACCATACACTCTTCCTCAATGTCAACTAACCACATATTATGTGGTGTAGAGAAGCTTCCTACAGTAAAGATAACTTCCAACTTTCCTGTTGCTGGAACTATATGTTCACATCAATTCATCTTTTTTCTTCATATCTGGAGGCAATGTCCCACCTTTCGTTACAGCTGTAACACCTTCTGTCCTGTGTTCATTTCTTACATCCTGAGTAAACAACTATAATTAAAAGCTTTTGTCTACAGTTCCTAGCAGTATGTCCTTTAAAGTTACAGCTGTAACATCTTCTGTCGTGTGATTAACTTCATTTATTCTGCATAACTTTCAGTTCTTCTAGACTATCTGTGTTTCTGTACTACTTGATATGATGATTCTCTAGCTTCTGGATGGTGTCTTTAATTATCAGCAACTTTAATTGACTGAAGTGTCGTCGTGAACTGAATAGCTTCCATTAAAGATGTACTCCTACTTGCTTCAGCACAATTCACATATCATCATCTGTTATTGCTTCCATGATTTGGTCAATGAATCCACCATTTCACATGGAGCACCCAGATAAGATAACTGAATAGCTTCCATTAAAGATGTACTCCTACTTGCTTCAGCACAATTCACATATCATCATCTGTTATTGCTTCCATGATTTGGTCAATGAATCCACCATTTCACATGGAGCACCCAGATAAGATAACCGGAAAAATTAAGCTTTTCCACATCTTCAGTTACGATTTCTTTTTCCCCCGTACTTTGTTCCCAAGAGATGCTTTGGAAAACTTTCTTTTAGTGCGTCACTTCGAACCTGTTGGATAAGGCAGCTACCAATGACTGATAGTTTCATGATGTTAGAAAAACATGTAG